AAATCAAGTCCTTTTGTTAACGGGTCAACTGTATTATCTTTGGATCCAATAAAATCAACAGCAAACACCCCTTGAGACACAAATTTCCTTATAGAATAAAATAGAAGGCCCATGACCTACCAGTTAACATATACATTTTCATATTTCATAACAAGTCATTTGTATTATGTATCTGTCCATGTGAAAAACAAGTCGATCATTTGATTTACTTATCAAATGCCTAATGTAACACTAATTTTACAAGTTTGAACCAACAACAATAGAAGCTTCCTGATATTGGTAATTATGAGTAACAGAACATACATTTGTTTGTTTAGAGACAGTTTTGAACTTTTGAAGACCAAGATTCAAGGTCCATGAGTTGGAAGCTATAGTGAAAGAGTAGGTATGTTCTTCCTTCTTACTTTGGTCCTTTCCTTGAAAAGGGGATTAATCTAATCAGTATATGGCAGGATTTTCCATTTTGTTGTCTAATGACAGAATCAGTGAAAGTGACCTATCTCAGTGTGTTCATTGCTTTATAACAACGTAATATTTGCTCCTCACTTTTAGGCATGTCCTATATCATGTTCTTGATTCTTCAATGACTATGTGAATGAATCTAACTTTATTTTTATTCTTTTAATTTGACTCTTTAGTTATTTCAGTGTATTGACAACGCAATAGATACCTCAATTGTTGCTCATTACAGATTAACAGGACGAGAGTGAGAAGTTATTATCCTCGCTTGAAGAAGAGCTACTTAGTGACCTACACTAGTAGAAAAAAGCCTTATAGTGACACTATTTTTGTGTTACATAAAGTTTCCGTGACACATGTCTTTCGTCGCAGAAGGTGGGAAATAGTGACACTAAATTTAGTGTCATAGGTGAACAACAACAACAATAAAAATAACAACAACAACAACAATAATAATAATAATAATAATAATAATTATTATTATTATCCTAATAGTAGTAGTAGTAGCATTAGTAGTAGTAGTGGTGGTGGTGGTGGTGGTGGTGTAGTAGTGGTAGTAGTAGTAGTAGTGGTGTAGTAGTGGTAGTGGTAGTAGTGGTAGTGGTGGTAGTGGTGCAGCAGCAACAACAGCAATAATGATGATGACGATGATGATGATGATGATGATGATGATGATAATCATCATCATCATGATAGTGATGTTGATGGTGATTGTGATTATGACTGTGATTGTAATTGTGATTATGAGTGTGATTATTATTATATATGATTATGATGATGGTTGTGGTGGTGGTGGTGATAATAATTATGAATAATAAAAAGAACTATCATATTAATTTTATACTTCGTACTATCAGATTAATTTTATACTTCGTACTTTAGGATTGTTACATCAAACACATAAAATTCATACATGACACCGGCTAAGCTTCACTAACTATGACTGTAACATCCATGAAAGAGCAACATAAATCGCTAATCACGAAATGAACATGAAACAACTATCACTGGTTCTATATATCCATATACTTCTAACGACATAAATAAAAGCTAAATTTCCAATTATTCTAGCAAACCTAGAACCATAGTCTTTAACAATAAACCAAACAACAAAATAAAATGCATAACTAAAATACATCAAGAGAAAAGATAACTTCTGAACGTTGTAGCAACACTCTTAGAACGTCTTTTTCCAAACCCTAACCTCTCGTTCATTCCATAGGTTGTGGAGGGGGCGCAAATCACCATCCATAACGCTTAAAAGCTAAAACCCGGTAAATCCCCATTATCTCTTCCCTTCCTCAATTCTTACCGTATAATCAAAGGAATTTGAGGAAGCTACCACAATTGATAATACTAGCCTCTCCTTTCAGAAAAGAGTCTGACCACCACATAATCTCGCACTCTCAATAATGCAGTTCCACTAAATCCAATAGAATTTATCACCGGCCTCCTCTGTCAATGACGGATCTCCACCGGAGCATCTATCGCCCACCGCCATGCTCTGCTATCAAACACAACTTCCCCTACCATCGTCTCTAGATGACCTTCATCTACGATAAAAAGTTATTGGGGGATGCTTTTATTGAACGGCCGAGAGCTTGAGCTTATGATATTATTATTCAATGCGGTGGTGGGTTTAAGAAAAATACTATTCGATCCATTTGATATGGGACAAATTATAAATATTAAATTGTACATCACATTTCAAACATGGTATAACCAATATACTATCTGTTAGGTAGTAATAGTGATAGTAAGAAATTTACATTTGCTTTGTGAGAGTTTTTATGTACATTATTATTCCATATATATAACTAGTTAAACTCCTCCTTAAACACCACCACTCACATTATATTATTGATTTGTCAAATTCTTTGGGTCATTAAATAATTAAAAAGTAATAATTCTAATTCATAATTTTCAAATAGAAAAAAATACGGAGTACAGTTTTCTAACAGGATATGTTATAAGTTTTATATTGCAATTAAATATATTCATGCATACAGAAATAATTTTAAAAGTTCTCTTATATATAAAACGTAGCATAGTTTATGCTACTCATCGAAGTTGTTACTTTCAGTTTCAAATTAATTAATCATTACTGAAAAAAGGAAATAAAATACAAACTTCAAATCCTTAATATCCAAGACCTGAATTTGAAATAAAAAGTCTTCGGTTTAATTCATAAAAACTTATTAAGAAAGAAAAAGCAAATTTACTTTTTTCAACCATTGATTAATTTTAAACCTTTGATTAATAACCTAAAAGTAATTGCAAGTTTACTTCTTTCGTAAAAGAATGAATCACCTATTTAATCACTTTGGAGCCTTACTTCATGAAGAGAGATCACTATAAACATAGATAAAATCTTATTGAAATATCACAAGGTAATGAAAAATACTACCCACTGGGGATATCACAAGGATGGGAAAATGATATCTTGTACACATCATTTCTTTGGTTGGGTGCAAAACAAAATAAGAGTGGTCTTCTAAATAAATTATATGCCCGATGTTCATAGATAGTACTTCGTATAAGACTACAAGTTAATGGGGGCCACATTTTGTTCTTCTTGGGGGCACACAAGTATATAATAGTAATGTACAATTTATTTAGGCTAATAGTATTTTTTTGGGGGGAAAACTGTCAAATAGGTCCTCGAACTTTCATAAAAAAGTCAATTAAGTCCTTCTATAGGAGACTCTGTCCGATCGTCGCGATTTGGGGCTGTTCCCGGTGGAATTTTTTGATGAAATTTTTTGAGAATCTTATTAATCAAGTCTAGTTTACTCATACCAAATTTCCGCTAAAAATTTAATCGGGAGCGCATTCAAATTAATTTGAGAACGCAAAAATGCGCAGTCATCTTCAAGAATTAATTTGAATGTGTTCCCAATTGAATTTTTAGCTGAAATTTGGTATGAGTAAACTAGACTTAGTGAATAAGATGCTCAAAAAATTTCATCGAAAAATTCCACCGAGAACTGTCCCAAATCACGACGGCCGGACAGAACCTCCTATAGAAGGACTTAATTGATCTTTTCATGAAAGTTGGAGGACTTATTTGACAGTTTTCCCTTTTTTTTTAGGCTAAAACTCATGACTTTATTACTTTAATGGATGTGTGTGCCTCCATTAACCAACATATGTATCCGCCTCTGATAGTTCACCAACCTCACCCACTACTTCCCCAACTGCCACTGCTCTTCGGAAGAAAGAGAACAGGGAAGAAAGAATGAAAGAAAAAGAAAACATAGTCTTATACTATCTTTTTCACCAAACACGTAACTTTTACTTTCGCGCGCTGAATTGTATAATAATCAGAAAAGGTAAGGTTGGAATTACTTTTGTGGCTGTAATGACTGAAGTTACTGTAGATGACCATTATAACTATTTTTACATATAATTTTTCTTTGTTTTTTTATAAAATACTAGTATATTTTAAAAATATTTTTTTCTTAAATCAACATAATCAGCCAATGCAGCCACTTCAGCCGGAACATCATAAATTTCAGCAGAAACAGCAGGGCCGGCTCTAGCGGTTTGGAGGCCCCAGGCGAAAAACTTTCAACGGTACCTTTGTATCATAATAAGTCTCCGACTAAGGTTTTCCGATAATTTAAAATTAGGAGATTTTTTATACTGTAGTTGTACTATTTACTATATATATTAAATAACTTTTGGGTAGATTTCTTTCCAAAAATGAAAGTATGACATTTATTTTGATAAAGTCAAAATGGAAAGTGTGACACTTACATAAGACATAGTCATAAAAATAAGATGAAATAGTAATTCAAATCGCATTATCATTGCCGGCAATTTTGAGGAAGAAAAAGTTGTCTTTACAATCATTCCATAGAGTCGGAAAGCAATTTAATAACCAAATCTCTTTTGAACATATTATTTCTCTTTATATATAATATTTAACTGTCATGACAAGTCCTACATATTTAGAATAATATTTATAGATAGTAATTAATAGAAAACCCATCAACAAAAAATATAAAAAAACAATTACAATTAAAATTATAAAATATTAGTAGCCAAATAACTAAACACACAATACTATCCCAATTATAAAATGTTATTGCAAAACATAAATGATTAATAGTGATTAATGAGTAGCAAAAGTTCAGTGTTATTTACAAACTTGCAACCATAAGTTTTTTTCATATGATTATCCCCGTAAGTTTTTATCCAAACACTTCCAAAAAGAATACTTCGTATTACTCCAAAGGAGCACAAAATTTAACACTCCGTGTTAGTTCGTTTCAAACTTTCAAGCCAACTACGCAGACCTCCGCTATGAATAAAAAATTACTCTATTTCCCCCCAAAAAATTACTCTATAATGCTCCATACTTTCATAACTTACTTTTGTATTTGAGGCCCCAAAAAAAAGTGAGGCCCTAGGCAAGTGCCTAGGTAAACTGGCCTCTTGGCCGGCTCTGAGAAACAGCCAAATCAGCCGATTTTGGTGATACTAAACGGGCTCTAAAACTACTCCACAAACAGAAATACTAATGAACAAAACGGCAAGTCCAACTATTTTTTTCTTTAAAGATTAAGAAAGACTATTCTTGAAAAGGTGAAAAGAACACTGAATGAAAAATCTTCCGACACCAACTAGAATTTCGTTTTTTGATGATTACGTTTATCATGTGTGGAACCAGATGATGGCATGCTGAGAAATGAAAAACAATGCACAAACTTGAGAAAGATTTATTCACTTAATTCAGTTGATTGTAATAATTCAGAAGACTAATGTTTCAATGTGGCTACAATCTACCCCCCCTCCCAAGACAAGCAGACTCTTTCATATAGACTAGCATTGAGGTTTTTTTTATTTGGAGGGTGGGTGGGTAGTTATTCAACTCCAGAGAGAGGTAACCTAAAAACTCCAGTGTCTCAGTGGTAGCAGGAGCCGAGGATATTTGAATTCTGCACATCGCAGCTGGTAATTAGTTCTTCAAAATGGAAAGTAAAGGGTAGGTAAGTAAATCCAGATGTGATTTCACATACCAAAAAGAAATACTCCGTATATATTTCACCCGAAGTTGATTCCTTGAGCCAAAGGTAATTCAGACCCATAGTTGATTGTGCTGCAAATGGAATAAATCTCAAGGGTTACGGAAGGAAATTTTGAGATGGGCTAGGAAATTTACTGTTAGCCAAGAGGTTATTTGTGAAACCTAACAAGTGTTTCGAGAGATGAATGCACTTACCAAGTTGAGCGTCGCATATATTGCTTCCACGAATCGCTGCCGGCTTCACGACCACCTCCTGTGGCTTTCTCTCCACCAAAAGCACCACCAATCTCAGCTCCATTTGTTGGTATATTCACATTGACTATACCACAATCACTTCCTAGTGGTCTGCCATAAAATTCAAACAACTCAATAGGAGCACACTAATAGCAATAGGAATACTGATATAATAATAATCACAACAGCAAATACAATAAATAATACAGAGTATGTAGTATTATGTAAGAAATCCAAATGAGATTTATCATTTGTAGTCAAGTATATTGTTGGGTTTATGCCTATAAAATCTAAAGACCCCATAAAATATCAATTTTACCTACAACTATCTCGTGCTTATTATTTTTCAATTTTACTCTATTATTTTTTCCATATGCATATAGAGTAGATATGTAATCTATAACCCCAGAAATGAAATTATCTGAATCAAAGACCACCATAATCTTTCACGAAATGTGTATGCCTCGTGATGAATACATTGGGTAAATGTTAAATAAGAAGCTTTGTGATTACACAAACTATGAATAAGAAAATAATTCCAGTCAATTTCATTTAGTTAACTTCTGTTGGTACATCAAACTCAATTTGAATGAGAGTTACAGTTGAAATACTGACCCAATCCACTTGAATATGTATTCAGGTTTCTTGGTGAAGATTGAACTACTCAAACCCTGAGGCACAAAGTTGTTTATTTTAACCGCTTCCTCAAATGTCTGCAAAAAGAGTAGGGTGCTCACAAGTAAGGCATTCATAGATTATTGTCCATTAATAAATATGGGTAAAAAATCTACTCAAGTAAATTTAAAATTTGCTTTGAAATAGTAGCCACCTTAAATTTCATGACATAAAGAACTGGGCCAAACAACTCTTCCTTCACGACTTCTGCAGTTGAAGATATTTCTACTATTGTTGGCTGCACAAAGTTTCCTTCAGATTGTATAACTGAGCCGCCTGCAAGGATCTTGCCTCCCTGGAAATTTAACAAAAAAAAATTGTGATGGAAAATAAGAGCCAAAAAGAGTTTACAATAACACAATTGCTACTGGACTGTTCTGTCTTCAGATGTGATCTGGGATTTTCCAAGACAATATCATTACGCGTTCCCCAGAACAATAAAAGCAAAGGTGGATATGCAGTGTTTCCTCATGCCCTTTAGTTTGTGTGTGTGTGTGTTTGTAAGTGTGTATTATACGGGTACTAGTGTGCGCTGGTCTCGGTGTCTCCAAGCATACCATCATTGAAAGAAACAAATAAACAGTTAGTTTAAATTGTGCGCTTCCAATTCTAAGAAAATACTACAGCTTTACGAGATTCTTGGTGTCAAAGTGTTGGAACAAATGTTTCTTATGATGGTCTATTCCCTCTGTATCATCTCACGTTATAATAATTGCATCGACACAAATAATGAGTGAATGAGGTAGATGAAAGCTCTATAGAATCTACTTTGCTATGAACATGCCAAAATGTTGTACAACTCTGATGAATCTCTCAAACCAAGCTTGGGGATTATTTCAAACAGTAGAGGAAGCGTCAGAGATGGAAAACATTGTAAGAAAGACATCTTGATGTCAACCTAGTTTAGCGGTCATTGAAGACCCGCAGCCATGGAAAGAAGAGTCTGTATGGAGCAATTTTGTCCATTGATGAAAATGTATCAGTGTTGTCAATATCAAACTTGTGTGTAACTATGTATCCGTGTGTAACTATTCGGTCTCTAGAAGGTACTGATCATTTAGTTTGATAGGGTGATGGCTCTCGAAGAAGGTAACACAACGAGTTTGTGTCATCTTCAAGATTTCTCCTACGAAGTCAGACTCGTAATTGATGTTGCGAAGAATATTGGGGACTCAAAATGGTGATCTTAGAGGTGGTCAAAAGACGGTGTCAATAGAAAATAATATCTGAAGCCTTTTTCAGCTTGCTGTCCTACTAAATAACAGGTCTTGAAGAGTTGGAAATAGGCAGCGGCGGCGGCAGCTTAACAATAAAAGTAACTGCCCAGGAGTCCAATTAGTTGAGCATCAACCCTTTGGTTAGGTGATCTGACTAACACACTGATAGGAACCAGCCTATTAGAGTATTAGACTATTATTAGAAATAATAATAATAATAATGTTAGTAATAAGGGTCTGAGTACCCTAGTATAAATAGACGGGTAAGGGAGTTAGAAAGGAGGCTTTTAGACTGTTTAGACATTTGTCAGACTGGGACTTGGGAGATCGAGAGTTTCTCTCTTTCTTGGGGGCTTCGGCTCATTTGGGGGCTTCGGCCATTGATTTCCTGTAATCGTTTCTTGTTAACACTAATAAAGTTTGCCATTGTTCTTGTTAATTCTCTGTATTTCTTCTGAAACCCTAGACAGTCCTATCATTGGTATCAGAGCCGTTATTTCCTGGAGACCGAGAATCTGAATCATTGGTACCATGGAGGAGGATTTCTACATGACGCCACAAATGGAAGAAAGAATTGAAAATCTGAATCGAAAGACCAAGGAGATGCAAGTTAATATGGCGACGAATATAGCAGCGATGGAAGCAGCGATCCAAGCTTGTTTCGCCGATTTGCAGAACCAACTTCAGATTTGTTCGCGAAATCGATCGCACACTTCAAGTAGGTCGCATCGAGACTCTCATCATGGACGTACGCAACATCCGATTGAACCAGAGGAATCGGAAGAACAGAGTATTCACATAAGACCTGGAGATCGGTCGAGGTCCAAGTCGCAGAAGGAATCGACGGAATCGCAGTCCAAATCGCGAACTGTTTCTCACCAGGCGCAGACTTTATCGCATCGTTCCTCGCATCCCACTACTCGCCATCATCATTCACCTCGCCATCACCACTCGAGTCACTCGCGAAAATCAGTCGGTTCAGGGGAATCGGAAAGAAATTCTGACCATTCGCATCATCATCGCTCTTTGCAGAACACTTCTCATCATTCTTATCATCACTCTTCGCTTCAGACTTTTTCAACGGGCATCAGTACGCGTTCAAGAAAGAAGCTAGGGAGGGGAGAATCATCATCTTTGTCATCAAAGGACTCTCACAGTTCCCTATCTTATTCTAAAGCTGTTTCTCTAAAGTCAGCTATTTCAAAGAAGGAGGAATTACCTCTGTTCTACGAGGAAGAAGCGTATGAATGGATAGAGAAGATGGAGAGATATTTCCAAACCCACACTATTGCAGAAAGATTTAAAGTGGACATGGCAGCAAAGGCAATGGGGGAAGCCGCAGATGGCTGGTTTCAATGGTGGGATTTTCATAAGGGAGAAGACAGTTGGGAGGCTCTAAAGGAAGATTTGATGAAGGAATTTCCACCCAAACGCCGGCCGAAGACAGGGAAGACAGTAAGACGAGATTCATCAAAGTCACGAAGAATTTCTTCCAGTTCAAAATTGAGTACCACAGTGCCCAGCTCGCTAGTCAATCATCACCCTCCATTGTCATCTGAAGGAATTTTTACTGATTTGCAGATGTCAACTGAATTTGTAATCAAGCAAAGGAATAAGAAAGATGAAAATAAGAATGTTCTTGTCAAAAGTCAACAACCTCAGAAAGCAAAGGAAATGGTTTTAGTATATTCAGTTGAAAGTATTTTTCCTAAACTTGAAGACGATTTGGATTTAATTCCCAGACAAGTTTCTATTGTTGACAAGCTTATTCACCCTTGTTCACCTGAAAGTAGAGTCATAATGGCTCCTGAAAAGTCTTATCCAAGGACTCACACGGATCATGTTTATCTTTTTTTTGAAGAATCTGCTTACCTGCTAGGACACCAACTCTGGAAATTTTACTTGGAAAATAATCTCTCTTGTTCCTTAGTCAACTGCTTGCTAAAGCCTTTTGGACCTTCCTTTTCAAATGAGGTAGGTAAAGAATTAAAAGAGGAAGAAGTTGATGAGAACAAAAAGGATTGTGCATCCAATACAGTACTTGTCACAGAAGATAGAAACTATGAGGAGCTGCAGAATAGTAAATTAATTTCTGAAGGGGAAGGCTGGAAGAAGACAGAACCAAATGAAACTGTTACCTATGCTGTCCTGAAATTGAATCCAAATACTTGGTCTTCTGGTTGGAGTTCATGGTCCTATTTTTGTAAAAGAGAGGTTATTTCTTATTACTCAAGTGGTTGGAATAGTAAGAATGCAGAACATGATGGTGGATATTGCTATGTGATGGTGGTTAGAGGAATGCCAAGGGTTTCTTTAATTGCTCCTGATGGGGGTGAAGTTGGTGACTACCGGTTTCAGTTGGCTACTGTAGATGCTGAAATTTCAAGGAGTGAAGCAACTGAAACTGAAAGATTTGAGTTATATCCTGTATCAAGAGCTATTAACAAATGGAAGAATGAGCAAGGGATGATGGGTGAAGATCAGTACCAGCAAGATCCAAGACACAGGACTAATTTTGATGATTGGAAGGAAGAGGAGCTAATGCTGTTTTTGCGAGAAGCAGTGAGAAGGAACATTCAAGTCATGAAGTTCAGGATCCTGAAATTTAAAAGATATTGGGAAGGGAGATGAACAAGGAAGAGGAAAAGGAGGCAGAAGATTGTGGCTGATTCCTATCACCCACCTTGAGGACAAGGTGGATGTTTAGGGGGGAAGTATTGATAGGAACCAGCCTATTAGAGTATTAGACTATTATTAGAAATAATAATAATAATGTTAGTAATAAGGGTCTGAGTACCCTAGTATAAATAGACGGGTAAGGGAGTTAGAAAGGAGGCTTTTAGACTGTTTAGACATTTGTCAGACTGGGACTTGGGAGATCGAGAGTTTCTCTCTTTCTTGGGGGCTTCGGCTCATTTGGGGGCTTCGGCCATTGATTTCCTGTAATCGTTTCTTGTTAACACTAATAAAGTTTGCCATTGTTCTTGTTAATTCTCTGTATTTCTTCTGAAACCCTAGACAGTCCTATCACACACACTGACCAATGGATCCAAATTTGGACTGCATATGCGATATGCCTATGCATGAATATTCTCAAACCAAGTTAATCTGGTAAAGTTACTGACTGAACTACATGAAAGGATTGGAACATATAATGAGTGTAGAAGGTCAAGAATCCTCAAGAGTAATATTAATGTCAGAAGTGGACATGATTCAAGAAACATTTATAGATTTTTAGAATTGTGAGGAAGAGACTTAGCTTGGTAGATTCTAAAAATGATAAATGATGACTTAGGTAGGAAAGCAATGGATCGGCACAACTGCACAAGGAAAGGAATAGACAATGGCTTATGGCTCTTGACATTATTAAGAGTACGGAAATAGATTGAATAGTACATGTTTAGCAAAGCCGCCATTGAGGAGATTCAATGCTCGATTAATTAGGAACGAAAGGAAACAAATTAACAATGGGTTGTTGTAATAAGGAAGCAATGGATTGCCACAAAACCATATACCCTGTACTACAGAAATTGGCCCACAAAACTGGGTGCTATGACTATTATATGACTAAAAAGAGTAGCCCGATGAATGTTGGCATCGCTGCAAAGAGAGGATCCGGGAAGGGTCCGACCACAAGGATGTATATGGGAGTAGGGGACACGTATTTTCTTACCAATTTCTGACAAAAGGACTCCCAAAACTTGAAAACGTTACATCACACCGCATCACTGTAACCGGTGGTGTGCTAAGGCTACCCTTCTATGACTAATTTAAATATAATTCAAGAATTGTGTGTTGCAACTTGCATACATATATACATACAAAAATACATGTAAACCATAATTTCAGTTTCAACACAATATCTTAGTCGATGCCCACATAAAGCTTTAAGTCCTTCACAAATTTTAAGGTCTAAAATTATTACTCCTAAAAATATACTCCCTCTGTCCCGTAAAAGTGTAAAACTTGGCTAAGGTTTACTTGCATGTGGAATAATAAAATAAAAGTTGTGTGGTTGAGATTTGTGCAGAGGAGAGAGAAATAACCTAAAGCACATATTTGTTATTTTAAATGGAAATGACAATTTTGTTTTTGGGGAGACTAAATAATACAGAGTAAAATCTGGCAAAGTTTTGTGGATGGAAAGAGTATATCATAAGAATGTTGAGACCTCTCAGCTTAATGCCTTAATGGTAATTCAGTAGCGAGCACAGCGTACCTCAGATTTTATTTTCTCAAGTCCCTTCTCAAAATTCTCCCTTGAAGCTTGTGTATGCAGTGGTCCAAGTAAGGTACCCTTTTCTAAAGGATCCCCTATCTTAACTTGCTTATATGCATCAACAAGACGTTCAACTACTTTGTGATATATACTTTCATGAAGAAGCTTTGCCAAAAGAATCATAAAAGAAGAGTATTAGCAACAAAGTTGTTATAATGTGAAAGACAGATTAATATAAAAACATGTTTACCAGTCTTCGGCAAGTTGTACAGCGCTGACCAGCAGTTCCGACCGCAGCAAATAAAACAGCACGAACTACAAGTTCAGTGTCGGCATCATCCATGACAATTATAGCATTATTACCACTTAGTTCAAGCAAACATTTGCCAAATCTCCGGTTCACTGTTTGCTGAACTGAAAGGCCCACCTGATCCATGTAGGAGGCACACAATCCAAATACAAAGGTGTCAAATGATAGTCAGAATGTTATCATCAATTAATATTACTACTGGGGTGATACTATGTATGCATTAAAAAATGAATGTTAATCAGAAACAAGAAGCACATTTTACCTTTGAGCTACCAGTGAATGATACTAGAGGGATTCGTGTATCTTTTGCTATGGCTTGACCAATTTCTGCACCCGCACAAAAAGCAGTGAAAATTGCTCCAGGCAAATTGTTTTTCTCTAACACCCCAGTGATAATTTTTGTCAATGCTATAGTAACCAACGGTGTAGTTGGAGCACCTTTCCTGATGCCATATTGTAAAACAACCTTCAGAAGCAGTATTCCGTTAACTCTAGTCAAGAAAGAGATTGAAACAAGGACTTGCACCAACAATAAAGTCAAAGAACACTAAGAAACGTAGGCATTCTGATCATTAAGAATAACGTGCTAAACATATACGGAAGAAACTAGGTAACAAGAGCAAAGCCCAAGCATTTAAAATCAAGTTTTTTCTTTCCAAACAGAGTCAAAAGGTGGAAAAGACAACTTTTTTACGAGCTCACCAGACAACACAGTTTCCACATACTAAAGCAATGCATGCATTCCATCCTGTACAGTCATGTTTAAAAAGGTTACCCATTATGTAAAACAAATCTAATGGGACATGTTTTTGGAAGAAAATTAACCGATAGTCAAAATTAACTGATACATTCTCAGAAACTCCCATGAATTTAACAATAACCAAGTACACTCCATAATTTATAAATCACATAGATAAGCATCTACAAATCCCAACTCTTACCCAGAACTGCACTTGGAAAGTTGAAGGCAGTAATCACACCAACTACCCCAAGAGGATTCCACATCTGTTCATAACGAATATATAAAGATAATCACAAGTGTACGCTCATAAAACACATTACCACAACCCAGTCTGTTATTTACTGCACCTCCAACATTGCATGATTAGGCCCTGTTGACAAAAAAGACTAATTAAATTGAACTTCTAAGGTATATATATAAATATAGAGAACACTATAGTTCCAGAAGAAGCATCTCAATATCCAGATCGTAAATTTCCTAAAATTTTATGTAGTTCACATAAACGTGAAGTTAAAACCATGAGGAGCTAATTAAACTAGAGAAAAGGTACCCTTAGAATATAATACTTGGAGAATTTACAATCAAAACAGATATTAACAAGTGAAGATGAGTAGGCTCACGTTCTGACGGTATGACTGCTCCATTCAGTTGCCGGCTCAATCCAACAGCAAAGTCACACATGTCAATAATTTCCTGTTTAAATAGTTTTATAGCTAGATAGTTAAATAATATTGACATGAATACTAAAAGAAAATCAAGTGTGTCCACTTGCATGAAGCATCACAGATTTTATGGCTAACTGTTAATCCAAAATTGTATTTCAAAGAAAGATTGTGACAATCAGATTATAGTATTAAATTATATAATATCAGATTATAGTAACTAATTTGTAAACGACAGTAACCAACTATCCTAAAAAAATGGAGTTAGAGTGTGCATTACTGTAAGTAGGAGAACACTTCTATGGACACTTTTATTATTGCAGAAGTATAAAAGATTTATGGTCCACACTAGTAGATAAGTACATACTTGAACCTCCCCAATTCCTTCAGGTAGTATTTTCCCCACTTCAAGTGAAACAAGTCGGCCAAAGTGTTGAAGCTTTTGTCTCAGTGCATCACCAATCTGCCTAACAATATCACCTCTTTTTGGCGCAGGAATCTGAGGATAAACAAAACAGCCAAGATAACTATTGAACATAACACGAACCTAGAAAATCTATGGACCAAGTGACCAACTAAGATGTAACAATGAGTTCTGCAAAATGTGAGTCAATGTTTTAGGTACATGAAATCCAGGAAGAGAGAGACTGAAAAGAAAGATTGTTATCCCTTATTATGACAGTCCATTTACCTGCATCCACAGCTTAGCTGCCTCATAGCAAGCCTGCATGCCTTCTTCATAATCTTCTATTGAAGCCTCAACAACTTCAGCAATTTTCTGAGTTGATGAAAGTGTGCGAATAAAATTAAAACACACACAACCACAACCATAAAAAGGAAATTGTTATCCGCGTTAAGATAACAAAAATTATCATTATACTTCTCTAATGAAATAAGGGAAAAATAATTAAAATACCCCAAACTTTGAAGAGGTGTGAGGTAAGCACCCCAAACTTGCATATGCGATTTAAGTACCCCCAAACTTATAAATAGTTATTTTAGCACCCTAGTTATAAATTATTTTTTTCAAAAATGACAATTTTTGGTGTTAATTTCATAATTTAAAATATTTTAGCATTCATGAAGATACAATTAACATTCTAACTTCCATTGTAAAATAAATAGTATCACCCATTTACCCCCACTCTATATAATTGCAAAGTTTTCAATTTGATATTTTAAATTATGCAATTAACATCATAAATAAACATTTTTTAAAGAAATGATAAATGACTATGGTGTTAAAATAACATTTTATTTACAGTTTGAGGTATTTAAATTACATATGCAAGTTTGGGGTGCTTATCTCACACCCTTCATAGTTTGGGATATTTTAATTATTTTCCCCAAGAAATAATGGAGGAATAAAAGGGTGTTTGGATCTACTTTCCAAAACTGCTTCTGCTCCCTAAAGAGCAGATCCAGATTTGGGAGTGCTTGGGGGAAACTCCAACAGCACTTCTAACTGCTTTTAACGGCTCCCTATAATCAGTTTTTGAGAAGCTATTCTACTTCTTAAATGTTAAATCCCAGAATAACAATAACAAGTACAAACACAAATATAAATTAGTGCAAATATTACTGAAATATTAATATGAGCGAGTATGAATATGAATATGATACATGAATATAACATAACTACATAATTTTAAACATTATAAATTTGATTTTGAATCTTGATTAGAATTTAATTTTCTTCAAATCGACAAGTATGGATAGATTTTATTTTCAAGTATTAACCCCAATGTTTGCTTGTTCAAACATTCCAAGCTTTGAAAAGAATATAAATGTCATTAAAAATATTAGTCATTATTTTTACATCTTTTCAGCATCAATGTTTTGATATGTACTGTAAATTACATCACTTGAATTGTTTTACATCGGAATCAAAATGACAATGCCTCTTCTTGGATGGGATGAGTATATATGGCTTTGAAGAGAGCAAAGTGCAGAGCGCATATGCGTGTGGACTAGTGATCTCTGTTCTCTCTTTCCTCTCTATTTTTCTTTTATCTTTTATCTTCTTTATCTTTCTATGTTGTTGTGTTACTTTTATATTTATTATGATCTTTTATCATTTTATCTTTCTTATGTTATTTTTATCTTATATTTGTCTTTACTTTATCCATTTTATCTTACATTATTTTTTATTTTATCTTTCTTCACTTTTTGACTCTGGTATCATGGATCGATTCACTCCAAAATCTTTTGGGAATAAGGCTTGGATGTTGTTGTTGTTGCGGAATTTTTTTACACCACCTATCCATTGTATCATTAATATTGAATATATTCGTATATAACATTATAAAATGTTATACACTTATACTGGTAATTTGTACACACAAAAAAGTGAAAAACAAAAGCAAACAAATTGTCAAACACTAGATAATCATATAGCAGCAGAATCAATACCAAAAACTCTACCTCAGATCACTTTATTACACAACTCAAAATTCTGAATCTGCTTTTTAAAAAAAGAGGAAAAACAAAATCAATTAAAACACCCGTAACAAAGTAATTCTCCAAGGAATGAAATTCAAAAACTATGAATCCTTAGTATATTCGTTTGAACAATAAACAATTCGCGATTCAGTCATAAAACCTAACCATTGGAGTAATTAGTAGTGATGGACAGTCTGTTAAATGTTGGGCCCATTTTATTATGATAAATTCACCGCATACTGATCAAAATCATACAAACAGAACGTAATCATATGAGCTCGCCTCATTGTTAGCAGGATTTACGGTGGAGATCGTATGTCCACCGGCCTTCCACGCCCCATTTACATAGCATCCGAGATTTGTAGGGCCGATTCCGAGCTCCTTGAGGAAAGCGTATTCTTGCTTCGCGAAACTCATCTATACATTCCAAAATTAAGTTAATAATGCATAAACAACGATAACGAAAAGATAGTAGCATCACTATAATTCGGAGAAATAGCTTTATACAATCGCCTGTAATCCCAGTGCCTGTGGCGAAGCAAGTGCGCAGGGATGCGACTGAGTGGTGGTGAAATGTTAGTGATAAGTTCTGCAGACAACAATCCAGATCATCTACTCATTCGATATATCCTGCGTATTTGTTTTCCAACTCATTTTTTTGGATTATATCCAACTTACATTTCATTTACAAACAACTTTCATTTTATATTTTATTTCACTTCAAAATCGTTTACTTGCATCCCATTTAGAAATTTTCCTTCAAAAATGTTATACAATAGAGTACAAAGTAAAGATTTTTCAAAATGAAGTGTAAAGTCTAATATCATCCAAAAAACAGCATGCAAAATCAAATTCTCTCATTTCATAAATTTGGATAAGTTCTTGCTATTTGTAACAACTCACCCCTCACATTCCCAATTAAGTTTATACCAAAATTGTATTCATTATGTCAATCTACTTTTTCCTTATAACCTGTGTTAACAGAACTGGACCGGATCGGGCGGTGCTACCCGGAACCCGGCAACCCGACCACAGAACGGGTCCGGGTTGACCCTTGACCCGGTTCCTTGCTCGGGTCACCTCCCGGTCCGATTTTGATAATATAGCTTATAACAAGCCTTTTCTTAGGTCCCTAGATTTTGATGATAATGTAATAGTTTTGATGGTGTCACCCCTTTTTATTATCCATGTATTAGACTAGTCTACTACTTACGTTCTACTTTGTTTACTTGTAATGTGCTTCATATTTAGTGGTAAAGTACTCATAAAAAACAAAGAGTACTAAAAAGAGAAGTTAAACGTACCATAAAACAACAGAAAAGAAAAAGATCCAAAAGAAAATGGTACGAAAAGAGTTAATTGGTATTCATTGTTAGGAAGCCTACTGAAAACCCCGGATTTCGGCAGTCAGCTCCCAACTTGGCAGCCAACTGAAATCTGGAAATCCAGTCAAGGCATCCGAAATCCAACTCTCTCTTCTCTTGGCACAAAACACTTAGACAAAAAGACGAACTTGCAGTCCAAATAACAATTTGATAAAAAGTAAATTTATACGACATTTTAATCACATTATAAATTTCTTATAAATTTATTTTACAAAAGCAAGTGTTCGTTCATTGTAAGGAAGCATTGAAATATCACTCAACTTTATACTAAGTTTCTACGCGTGAAACTAAAGATAAAATATCTTTTATCTTGCATTGAAATGTGTGAACAAGTTGAGCTGAAAATTGTTGATCCGTGTCACTACGTGACAGAGACAAACCATGCTGCCTCAGTCAAGTGGAACAAAGCAAGTAGATCAAGCTACGGTCAAGATTCATTTTCCTCACCAACGGTGGAGATGCAATGATCAAGTCTATAAATACAGAAGGAGTGTGGGATTACCAAGTGTGGTAAAACGAGAGGTGCCAAGTGGATAGAAGGAAATCATACTACACGAAGATATCCAACAAGCTGATTTTCCCTTTCTATACTTCGGCTGCCACCCCACTCGTCTAATGCTCTTAGACTAGTTATAATTCATACAAATCAATAGAGCTTAGACTAGTTGGTAGTTTAGAATTACACTCGTGTATTTTAGACTAGTGTTAGACATTCTGGAGGGCTTGGTGATCAAATCCAGAAGGTGGGAAAGGGCAAGGACATGAGTAGCTCTTGGGGAGTCAATGCCATTAGTGAAAAACCTTAGGAGGACTGAGTAGCTTGGAACGGTGTTTAAGTTCCTTGTGAAAAAACTCACAACCTATGCCTGGGCCAAGGGTAGGTTGGGCACTAAATGTAATGGCATATTCATTTAGTAGAAATCCATCTGAAATAGGTTGGGACTGGATGCAGGAGGATCACACCACCTCTGAACCAGGATACATCGTGTGTCATCTTTTACATTCTGCTCCTAACTATTATTCAGTACTCACTCACCTTCACAACTACACAGTAAAACAACTTGCTCACTAAAACTGTCCACTGAACTGGGAAAGTTCACTGTGAGTCATCTCCTTGTTATCTGTTCTTCAAAGTGACCTATCTCCATTGGTCTAAATCCTTCATACACTTGTGTTAGACTAGTTCTAAAGTCAGTTGAGTTGTTAGAGTAAAGTTCTTTGCTATACTTTAACCACACAAACTAAAAAAATTCATAAATCAGCAGAATCAGTTAATAATCCAGGCACTTCAGGCTGGACTTCATAAATTTCAGCAGAATCAGCCAATGCAGCCGATTTAGATATGACCAACACGAGCACTAAATCAACCAAAAATTGGTCATGACTGCAGTTTTAAAGAGAGCAAATCAGTATCGACGTAATTATATGACTTTAATTTGGAGTAATTTGTTAGGCGAAGGGTTTATATGTAATTCTGAAATCAACGTGTTGCTTTTACATGGGGAAGTTATTCATCGCAATTGGGATATTTCCATTCGAAAAATAGTCAATTTATTATTTCCATTTTAATAAGTGGTCAATATCCTAACTAATTATTCACGTAAGGTTTTTATCATTTTAGAAAATCATGCATCATTAATAGCATGCGTGCTACAAAACGTTAGTAATAGTGCAATTCGTGTAGCTTATAATGTTAGTGCAAAAAAATTTCTATCAAACAACCTTTCCCTAATTTAAAATCCATTTAAATAAATAAAAAACTTTTAACAAATAAACTTTCATGCACCATGCAGAATGAACACATAAGTTTGCACTTTTACACCAGATACATCATGCACATCAGGCTTGTGAAGATTTTTATAGTGAACTTTAATTGTAAAAACAATGCTCTTTTATTTGAATCATTATGCACTTTGAATATAATATAACGTTCGTCTCCAATAAATGTGAAAATAGATTGTGGATAGGTGTTAGCACAAGAGTTAATTTAGTTATGCACTTTATATACATTTAATTAAATGTGATAAAGATTCAAATGCACGGTATGCACACTTAATTAAAGAGTTATGCACTTTATATACATTTTGTAAATGTAATAGTATGTCATAAATAGGTGTACAAGTGCAAGAAAAAATGTGTGCACATCTAGTTACCGAATTATGCACTTTATTCTAGACTGTTAGTAATAGTTACTTTTAATATGCCAAAAGCACGACTTTTGAATAAAACGAAATACCAGTTAAAATAATTATTAATTTGAAACCAAAGTTTCGAATAAAAACACCATTCATTAAAATTAAAATTATTTGGTTAACATATAAAAGAATAGTTCGTAAAAATGTAAAAAAGAAAAAGGTAAGCAATGTAAAAAAAAAGTTGGCAACTTTCAAAGGAAAGCAAGTTGCGAATAACGTAAATTGTGGGAAGCGTAACTGTAGGAGAAAAATAAGGAAAATGTGTGAAATGTCATATAAGCCCAAAGAGTATAACCGTAACCCTCCATATTCCTAGGTCAATCCAATGGTTGATATCTATTCTTTTTTTCTCTCCTAAGATTAAGTTCTCACATGAATATATATGACTACTTAAACTCCTCCCCAAACACCACCACTCACATTATATTATTGACTAGTTTTCAAGCCCGTGATATTTTCGCTAATTGTAAATTTGATATTTTCGGAATCATATATAATTTAATGTGATGCAAAAGAAAAAAAAACTTAATCTAATATAAAATCATATGATAATACTAAATTGGTCGATTTGTCTGACTTTACGAATTAAATCTAACTGATTGGGCTAAATTGACGGAATCTCCCAGTGCACGTCAGGCTGCTAAACAGTGTCAATCGAAATCACGGAACAAGCCTCCTGCGGCTGCTTGTCCGGTCTTACGAATACGAGACGCGTCTGAATTGAGAGCAACCCACTCAATTTCTTCTTTTCTTCATTCGTATATCAATTATCCATGACATGTGAGTTGATTGGGGAGTGCATAGAGGGTGTGTATTTCCACCTAGTGGTGGGCCTGGTGGCCACTTTTAACTCGTTCCAAATTTTATAGTATCTGGAGTGAAAAACATAGGTCTATTAATTTCCCACCTTATGGATTACGATCGGTTTAGAGTGCACACATTTTGACCTACTTGTTAGTTCCTAAAATGGGCAACTAGAATCACTTAGGACCGACTTCACTAACAATTTTGCTTTTCTTTTTATGCCTTTTGTTGACAGGGTTTAGGAGGTTGGTCAAATCACGGAGAAGAAGAGCTATCCGGAGAAAGAGAAACGGCTTCACAGAGAAACCATAAGCCTGACCAGCATGCCAGGAAGAAAGTAGTCTACCAGTTACTTGGACTCCCCATAACTCCATAAGTAATACGTAGTATACTCTTTCATCAAACTCGTATAATCAACTCGTATAATTAACACAAGTGGAGCTCACATAATCAACTCGTATCAAAACACATAAAAAACACTACATCTAACATTACAAAGAATTTTAGATAAGAATTAATCACATACGAAGTATAAAGCAAACTTCGAAATAATATAGGCAAACATATTGCACATATCAATTCTTTCATGCTTCCTAGTGTTACTATCTCTAATAATTTGGCAATCATGCAATCAAACACATATGCACACAACATCATTCTGAAAATTATCTTTCACTCATAAATTTGTGGTCATCTTGAACGGAACAAAGCACAAGGTATTGATGATCTTACTATATCATATTGTATGAGAAATCTGTATTTTATGATAAGGATTCAATCAGCAGAAGTTAAAGATGCCATAAAAAAGACGCGGTTAAAGAAAGCAGTGAGTCCAGATGAGACATAGAGAAGATTGGGAGAGAGGCCCCAAGTGGTTAACAGGCTTCTTGAACAAGATTGGAATTGTAGAAGCTCCAGAGAAGTGTTAGGATTTTGGAAAATCAATTCGGTTTTATGTCTAGTCTCTCAATTATTGGGGTCATTTCACCTTCTTTGACAATTTATGGATACTAACAAGAATATTCATTTATGTTCATTGACTTAGAAAAGACGAAAAGATTCTTGGAATGATCATTTAGTGAGCCTTAACAAGAAAAAGACATCACGTAATTATATCAACAATATCCATATTACCATTGAAGTGTACCGAAGATCTAGCTTACTTATAAGCGATGAAGTTTTGAGCGTCGAAACAATCAGGCTGCTTAACGACTCCTCCCTGGTTTGGCAGAGCACTCCACTCGACTTGTTGCCAATTTGCCATTGTTGTCCAATTCTCAAGGGTAGGCCTGGACTCGGGCCGG